TACTGAAATTGGTAATAATTCTTACGGAGAGTTGACAGTATTTTCATTATAGAAAGAATATTTCATTGATGTGAAGGATTTTGGGGTGTACAAAATTGTTTTTCATATATTCGCTATGTTCCTGACATTATTTTATAAAAAAAAAAACGCCGCCGTGTACTGATTGCTATGACAAAGCTTTCACATATTTATAGCAGCAGAATAAATATTATGAAATCCCAAAGTACATAAAGCATCTTATGCTTTGTTCAGACTGAGCAGTTACAACATGTTATTTATAAGTCTATGTTGATAACATTGTTCTTGTCGAAAACTATTATAACATTTTATAACTCTGAAGTTTGAACATTATTATTTATTTATTAAATTATTTGCCAGTTCACGGGCGGCATGTTGTCCATGAACTAAAAGCAATCCACGGGCCGCACAAATTTACTCAGCATGGGTCTTTGGGTGAACACCACTGGCTTAGTCCTTTTTGTCTTATGACATGCGTGCCGATTAATTAAAAAAGACTTGCTGCGGCAGGTCTAGGAAAACAATGTTTGTATGATGGAATTTTAGACAACACATTATTTAATTTTTGTGTAATAATTAGTGGATAGAACAAGAAAAAAGTAGCATGATGTTCTAAACGATTAAAACTTTGTTATATATGACGGGATTTGTGTTACTAATGTGCCATTTAAATCGGATTTGATGTGAGCTTTGGCTGGCATTATAATTATAATTGTTTTATAAATAGTTATCTATCAAAAACAAATTCAAACTTTATGGCCAAAATCAACAAATCAGCTACTTGCTTATCTTCATGTGTCATGTCATGAAGTGTAGAAAGACGAACTAAAAGCGAATCCCTAACACGTCAAATGCAGATACCAAAACACTAATACTAATTTAAATTCAATTTTATTCCAACTGTATGCATTAGCAAAAAGTGTGCAAATACTAGCCACGTGGACGTTTTTGAGAAATTTTAATACCGCCTCTCTCTTGTTTTCTACTGTAAATAAAAAAAAATGCATGGGCAATCGCACACCCATATTTTAAATTTTCTAGTTTTCAACTACTCAAACCACTTTCCTTCCACAACGTTGCCTCCATTTTCACTCTGGTGACCCACGAAAGTATGTAAATGTGCAAATTGATTTCTTCTGATAAAGGAAGCAGAAAAGCTTTTGACCAAGTTTCTTCAGCATGGTTGCGGCTGCTCGTTTAGTTTTTCCCAGTCGAAGAGGAAACTTGTGCTACAGTATTCACATTTTTCTGACGCACTGAAGCGTTAGTAATTTCGGCATGAGGAAGAGGAAATTACAAAGTGTGTAAATGATTCCCTGTTTCTGTCGTCTACTGGGTCGTCATAATACGCTACGTATAAGCATGAATTGAATTTTCCTTTCATATTTTGTTCAACCTTTTGATCTCGTTCTTCATCCTAAACCACCATAAAGTACCCCGTTGTTGCAAGTTGCATAGTAAATAATCACCATTTTATATGTCACCAAAAGCATTATTGGGGTAGTCACAGTCAGGTTCATTTGTAGAGAGGTAGTCATTTTACATCGTCTAACTTTTATTTGCACGTAGGTTGTCAGCATGCAGTTCACAGGAAAAGTAATAAAACTTTCTAACAGGTCGTTTACGAATGTTTTCTCTGTTCAGTCAAGTGTGAATCTGTGCAAGATAGCGTTTTATGTTTCCATACTCACATAGAATTGAAAGCTTGGTTCTAACACGTGAGTGAGTCTTGATTTGGAAAACCAAGCATTAGCGATCTGAAAGATCAAACACGCATTTTTGAGAAAAAATATAAACGTAATATTAAAAAGAAGCATTTTTGATGCTTACTTAACTTTTTTTCAATTGCCCGTCGCTACGCTTTTAAAACAAAAAAAAAATGAGCAGGATAATACACCAGTGTAGCGATCGTAGCATAAAATAGTACTCACACCGCGTGTTTAGATTTGACTACCTAAGTACATAAAAGATTAGATAAAAGGCTTTTAAAGGTTAAGCAGCTTCGTTGAAGGTGATCTATAGCATTCTAAGCAGCCTAATTTTTAAGTCGTTATAACAACTTGAAAGTTCCGGCACCATAATTAAATAGCATTCTAAGGCACTGAACGATTTGGTGGATTATTTTAACTTATGGTTAAAATTTGACAGATGGAAAGTTATCGATTAACTCTGCTAATCGAGCGTGGTTATTTCTGACAGACAGTTTTAATTTTATCTCCCAGCGGTAATGAACGTGCAAAAATCATAGAAACTGAACATACTAAATCAAACGGAGGCCGGAGTGTGCGGGTACTTTTCAGTAAGAAATTGCTTCTAAGTGGTGCCATACAAAGGATCAAGGAAATGATGCTGATTGCGTTGGTTTTATATTTGTTTCGTCCATCAGAAATCAGCTGGACCTATTGTACGTCGATAGCAGCGAATTGACCCAGCAGCTGGTTTTCCGTTTGTGACGATTCATGGACACGATTCATGATCTTTAATTTGGAACCGCGAATACAACATAACCGAATCGGGTTCTGGGGTTTCCAATCTCTGGGGTTTCCAATGGCTACGAGACTATGTTATGCTCCGCAAAGCTACGGCAAATGAGCCTGGAAAAATAAACGCATCAAAAAAAATTTAAGGTGACATGCTTTTTTGTAAAATTTTGTGAAATTGTTCATAGTATTGCATCACTTGCTGTCCATTTCTATAAAAAAAAACTCAGTTTGTTTACATTTGTCAGTTTCGTCCTTTTGAAATGTTGGTACTGAATTCTTAAAAACTAAAAGATAGAATGTCTTCCACCGCAGGGGTGCCCCAGGGTTTCTGAAATCGCGGTTCAAAAATCTCTGCTCGTTCTGAAAACCAAGAATAAGATTAGCTTTAACGAAGAACACATTTCTCGACTAGTTTATTCAGCTTTACAACAGGAAAGGAGAAAAAGCTGTAAAACTTCACAAATCTAAAAATAAACCTAGTTGATTGTAAAAATGCTTCCAAAGAAGTGCTAATACAGTTTATTAGCTGAGTACAGTCTATATAATATAGTAGTTGAAGGAGCACTTTTGATGTTCATCCTATTCAGTAAGAGTTGTTAGTTATGTTAAAGCCATCAAATGAGTAATATATTCAAGTTGATTAACATGTGTGTAGATGTGATATTAGCTTTTATTGGCTTCTGTTATTTAGTATGACTGACGAATTTAATTATTGTTGTGAAAATGCTGAAGAAACGCTTTTCAAAACAATAGCGTCTTCAATAGCTACACTTAAAGCCTTTTTTTCAGCTACTTTACAGTACGCTGGAAAAGATAGCTTATAAAGCTTAAAATGTTTGTTGGGGAATTTCAGTTGCTCCTGAAATCTCATGCTGGTAGATACTGACGCCCTGTTTACATTATGCTGACTTTTTTAGTGCAGTTCTAGTACACAAGCACCAGCATAGATGTAAACACCCCATTACTGACCTGACTGAAAATTCTGCTGCCCATTCTCAGTATCCATTTCGCCTGGATTGGGTTCATCGAATACCCGATGAGGATGGATGACGTTCCATAAGTAGTCCGATATCCATTGAATTTTCGTTTCGCGCAATCCGTTGGAATGGTTGATCGAAAAGGGTATATTTTTAGGCCCTTACTTCGGACATATGCAAAGGCCTCAAATTCCAACATCAATCCGAGTAGGACAATAACCAGTGCAACAACCCCAAGTTTAACATCAATCCTTCCCAACAAACAATTTTAGTTGATCAACAGCTGAATAAGCTATTTTTTAGCTGAAGAAGCTTGTTTTTGCCTGAATAAGCTCTTATTAAACATTCAATGTTTGTTGGGTTATAGTGAATCAAAAATATCTCCAAATAACAAAATGACAAGCGATCAACGAACCGAAAGATAAAGCTATGTCAGAAGTGGAAAGCAATAATAATATAATATTCTTCCTTTTTTCATGACAAGCAGCCCATGCGACATAGCTCATGTGAAGGTAAAAGGTTAAACAGCAGTTCCATTTCAAATGCCGATTTTTTTTTTAATTTTTTGATCGATCTTGTACGGTTATGTTGATACTTTGCACAGTTGTTTGTTACTGTCCAACATGCCATTTTACATATTTGGTTCCCTAGTATTCTACACGATTAACATTTGAAAAGGGCTTATGCAAAAAAAATATTCGCATAAATAGAAAAACATATATCTCGCGAACGATTTGTTTGATCGAGATGGTGTCTTTCGCGATGTTGCGGACAAGTATTGTGACTTTCAAGAAAAAATATACAATGTATATTTTTTTATTATTTACAAAAAAAAATTAAATTACCCTAAATGCATTTTTTTTATATTTATATTGTAGTTTAGATTTACTATAGTCCTACTCACTGACGATGTGTATTTGCTGAGCAATTCATAAACAAAAAAGTTATTCATTATTGAAAAAGTACTATTTTCCAAAATAATACCTACAGTTATCGAATATCTTTGAAATAGTGTTAATATTGAATTTGCAACAAAAATGCTCTTAGTGCTTAAACTGCCCAAAGTTGTTATTTTCGAGATACTCGTAGGTTAAAATTCACTAATCGCATAATTAGAGTATTTTTGCCCTTTTGAGATGTTATTCGTGAGTGTTCAATCTTGGAAGCATGTTTAACGAAAAGCCCAATTAATTTCCTTCTACTTTGCTGTTCACAGTTTTTCAATCAGACTAAATCATTGTGTCTGCAATTATGGATTCTCTTCAATTGTTAATAATTCTGCTGGATAAAAATTAATCGGTACATTTTCTGTTGCTTTTACTAGCCATTACAACCTTTTACATCAGTGTAATGGGAAAAACATCGGAGAATTGTGTAATTTGTTTATTTATTCCTAGAGAAAATCGATGAAGAGAATAAAACATCGCAATTAGGTCCGCTAGATATACTCTAACATATTTCCCAAACAATCAAAAATCAGAAAAAATATAAATGATGATTGACATAATAAATTTCTACTTACTTTAGCTTTGGCAGCTCACAGAACACCCACTCGGATACATCTTCGATGCGTACCTCACGATGCGTGCTGCTGAGATCGCTTTTGTTGCCTACAATCACCATTGGGATGTCTTGAAAGTCAGCTCGTTGTTCCCGGATTTCTTCGAAACATTGCTTCACACATCCCAGGCTCAGCTCGGATGTACTTGCGTAAACCAACAGAAATGCGTGGGCGGTAGCAATCGATAGTCTCCTCATTGCCGGAAATTGCATCTCCCCAGATGTGTCAAGTATGTCAACCTTTTTTTCAATTCAATTAATATACAGATATATGAAGGAGAGAAAAAAAGAAAATCAGTGCACCTTCCTAAATTCCTATTGAACGTATAAAGCTTTGTCATACAGATTGTGGCAGTAACCTACCTTCAACGTCACTGCGCCTAGGTCGTACTCTCGATTGTACAGATCCTCCACGGTTGGTCTGTACTTGTCTGAGTAAGTTTTGAAGAGGAAGCGTTTTATAATGCAGCTTTTTCCCACGCCGGCACCACCAAGGATCACCAGTCTTATCCGCTCAAAGTCAGACATTTTCATTTAGATTGTAGTAGAAAAGTAGGATAGTGTGCACAGATGAACTTATTGTAAACTGCTAGAGCACAAAACTAGAGCCGACCACATATGGTAGTTGCTGGTTTGAACTAATTAACTTCCTTTTTTATAAGCTGCACTATTCTGGACCGCTCATGGTATGACGTTCTCTTTTATGTCTCTATATAATTTTAAGTTATGCTATGTTACTCTATTTCATTACTTTATCAATTGATGTTGATAACTTTCTAAGCCAAATTTCATCATAATTAAAAGTGCAAACGTAAGAAGTGCATCGAAAAGTCATTATACAAACTAGGCATTTTGTTCATTTTAAAAACGCAAATGCTCAGTAAACCTTTAAAAACGCCCAATTTATGCAAGTTAGTATATCGTCTTTTTCTTTGCAAAAAATGCTGCATTAGTTTAGGCAAATGCATCTTTATTTGTGGAAAATGATCTCTTAAGCTTCAAGATGCTTGCTTGTCGCTACGCTCCCCAAACAAATAAAAATATACTTCAATCATATTCAATCATATTTATTTAGAATAATTTATGGTTTTTAAGCGTATTTTACTTTTTACATGGGTTCGGGCTAGAATCGATCTTTTTTATACTGCCTCGAGTTTTTGTCCTACTATTACAGCGTCCTGACCAGAGTTGTTAATAGATATCGTCAGCGGTATCGTCTGCAATGCAAATTCATGAGCGCTGATGTAGTTTCGTAATTATTCACCTCAAAATAATTCAATTCCTCCAACTTATCGATAAAGACACCAATTACTTGCAATATTTTTTTGTGAAACCCTGTCTCCAAAAGACCTTTCACAACTGTTGAAATGTTGAGTTTCAGATACGATATTTTTGAAAAGCCTCAATACGAACTTTTGCCCCACATTACTCTATTCACTTGCAGATGTACACTGAATGCAAACTGTGAAGTATAATGATTCGTCAATGTTAATGTTGCCCAGTAACGCTTGGTAGATTACCTTTTTGTGGCACGTTAATGGCATTAAGATCTACCACCGAAGCCTGGTCCGAACTACTTTAAACTAGGGGAACAGAATTGTTTTGTAATCAAAGGAACACATCTAAGTCCTTTTTTACTTTGATAGTTGTTGATAGTGACAAGACTCGGCTTTGTTCACCGAGGATGATCTTGAAACAAAGAAAAAATGATCCAAGTAACCACCAAGCCCGGTAATAGCACGCTAATTGCTCTTTTTGCAGTATAAGGTTAATATAGGGCTTCCAAACCTTATATCAGCCGTATATCAGCTTTATATTGCAAAAATGGTTATTAGTTGGTTACTTGGGGAGTTTGCTTGTTATTTATCATCTACGTGATACCTCATCTTTTAGTCGCTGTTCTCTAGTTTGAAGTGGTTAAGACTAGGATTCTGATGCATGGTCATTATCGGTGTTATTGCTTGCTTTTGTTACTAAGGAATCCGTTTTTGACTGCAAAAGGGACGCCTTTGGAGGGTGTTCCAACACTCCAAAGGGTATAAAGAGCGGGTCTTAACAATTAAAGTCGGATCCTTGCGATAAAGGCAAGAATCACAACTGTATCAAAACCGATTACTTCTTCATTTCTCAATAGTGATGGAGTAATACAACATGCACTAAACCCCCGTAACGTGGGTAGATCACCTTTTCGTGGTACGTTACGGGATGTAAGATCTACCACCGATTCCTAGTCTTGTCTACTTCAGACTAGGGAAACAGGATTTTTCAGTAATCAAAGGAACACATCTTAGTCCTTGTTACTTTTTATGCCTTGTTGATAGTGACAAGTCCCCGGGTTGCCTTGACCGAGGATGATCTTGAAACAAGGAAAAAATGAGTTAGTCTTCACCTATGTGATTCCAAATCTTCTATTCATTGTTCCCTAGTTTGAAGTGGTTAAGACTAGGGTTCTGATGCATGGTCATTATCGGTGTCATTGCTTGTTTTTGTTGCTAAGAGATCCAATTTTGATTGACAAAGGAGCGCGCCTTTGGAGGGTGTTCCAACACTCCGAAGGGTATAAATAGCGGGACCTTTCAATTATAGTCGGATCCTTGCGATAAATGCGAGAATGACAACTGTAAAAAAAATCGAATGCTTCATCATTTCTCAATAGTGATGGAGTAATACGACATGCACTAAACTAAGGACACGGGATATACTACAATAGATCAAATTACTGGTCGCAGTGGTTTTATGTCCCGAACAGAGGAAAAAAAAAAAAAAAAGGACAATAGATCAAATAACTGGTCGCAGTAGATTTATGTCCCGAACAGAGAAAAAAAAATATTTCATATAAAAAATAACCTGTCGATGACTTCATAATCGCTGCCGATCCATTGGTGATCCCGTTTAGGTACTTCGTGGATCCAGCGTTGAAAGAACGTCGATTCCATCATCGTTGACGGCCCGCAGTGGCTCAAACCTATCAACGTGCGTTTTTTATTTGAGGAGTAGGGGAAATGTAGGTAATGTCGGCCTAATTGTTCCTAATTTGGGTCCATACATAAATTCAGCAATCGACTAAATTGTCAATAGCAACCAAAAATATCCATTATTAACGTCCCAATAACGCGTTCATCTAGATAAAATTGATAAATAGCAGATTTTTAGCGATGGGCCCAATCTTAGATCCATAGGCCAACATAAGAGACATTTCCCCTATAAACGTTATTTTAGAAGGATAGTTGCTTGAGAGAAGTTGGTAGATTCTTCAAAAGCTTTCTTCTGTAGTTAGTAAAATTATAATTTATCTCCCTAGGAGAATTTAAATTTCCTAAACATGTTTAAAAGAGTGTGTCTCCATCAAAGTGGTAGGTAATGCTAATACTAGCAGCTTAGCTGATACTACCAACTTATATTGAGTTTGTGATGTGCTAATTATTGTTTTTTTTTTTATAAAAACCCAAGAAAAATTGATTTTTGTTGGAACTTTTTCGAAGCCTTTTTTAGCAGCATCATTTGTTGAAGAAAAGTGTGAACACAATTCAATCACGCATTTTCTTAGATTAAATTAGGGTGCTATAATAACACCTGTAAAAGCTATTCAATATTTTATCATAAAAATAGGTAATTTTCCATCGGAAATAATTATAAACCGATCAAAAACGGCAAGCTAAAACATTTTCAGTCGAAAAGTATGCCTTTAAGCTACTAGATACATGAGTTTTCATTAGGTTCTGCTAAGTTCAACACTGTTTGTTTGAAGAAATTTTTCGTACTACGATTTCAGTCTTAGCCAAATACCGTATGCATGATAATGTTTGCACTATTGAGCAATGTCAAAATAAAAAAAAAAATCTCAAAAATTTCGTTTCCGAGTTTTTTTTTTATTTATTCAAAGGGTGATGTTTCTCAAAGTCTTAAACTATGTTAATCATCCATCGAGTTTCCACTTGCTGCAATTACGGCCTCCTCACGCTTTCGGAATGCACGGCAGGTTCTAATAATGTAGTCTGGATCAATTTCTCTCCAGGTACGGGTCAATGTTTGTCTGAGGCTTGCTGTACTCGGGTGGCGTTAAGAACAGGCCTTGGCCTTTATGACGCGCCATAGTGCGGTTTGAGGTGTGGCACGGAGCCCCATCTTGTTGAAATACAACATTTGGTTTCGGACCGTACTGTTCTTTGATCCACGGAAGAACATACTTACTTAAAATCCCGATGTAGACCTCCGTGTTGACCTTGTCGCCTTTTGGAATGAACACCGGGTGCATTTTTTTGCCATCGAAAGCCACCAATCCAAACACCATAACGCTAGCAGGATGCTTGGTCAGATACACGTTCTTGAGCTCGTCGGCCACATCTATTACCGGAAGAGAACTAATATACCGGTCGGTTCTGGAATTTGATACGGGATCGACGGTAAACATGCTCTCGTCGGTGAACAGGATTACCGGATTTTTTCGCTTAAGGAAGTTCAAGATTTTCTTGCATCGTTTGACTCGTAGCTCCCGGATGCGGTTGGTAATCTGGGTAATCACCCGCAAACTTCTTTTACGATCTTCCGCGCCGTAAAATCACTGATCCCGTGTTCTTTGCCATTTTCCTTATTGAACGCACTGGATTCACCCGAATCTTCCTTTTGATAGCAGCAATAACCCTCGGAACCCAAGCTGACCTCGGACGACCTGTGGCCACCTTCGCGGATAGTTGTCCTTTCTTTTCTCGGTCTAAAACCCTTTTGACGGTCCACCGAGACACTCCCACGGCGATTGAAATGTCTTTTTGCGACATTTGCGCGTGGGACAAATCACGAATACGCTGCCACTTCGTCATGGTGCAACTGTCAAACTAAGTAAATCATTTTCTTTTATACACAGCCTACTACGGTATGAGCTATAGGTTACGTGCATGCAAAGAAAACCAAGGCATTGTATGCACAGGTGAAACGGGAACCTTATTTGTACGATGGTGCAAACATTATCACGCATACGGTACTAATAGTCAACTCTTATTCAATAAAAGAAATGGTATAACTACTTTCAAATCTTCATCTTGATCTAGATGCTCATGATAAGTCTGTTTGTTCCGGTATTATATAATCTCAGCAATATAAGCACAATATAATGCAATATATCCAATAGTGTTGTTCATAATATAGATTTTGCTCTACCCCTCTTCTGATAATTTCCCCAAAATTTGAGCTCATTTGGATGCGAACTCATACTGCACTGGCCTTTTAAAGTATATACGAAAATTACTATGGGAATATTTAACTTTTTGCACTCACCGTTCTAGCCCTTCGCTATTATGATCTAAAGAAAAGTTTGCTATCTGTACTAATGTGAAATTTTCAGCTACAACTTTACTGAAGACCACTTTTTGGTTGAACGTCATATAATTAGTTTTTAATTAATTAGCAAGATGATGTTCTTGTGACATGCTTCATCAACTGCTCAGCAGGCGATATTGGTGTACTTGGCGCAAAGAATAGGGTATAAAATCTAGAATACTGTGTCATAAGTGCGAGATGTAGTGTTGCCCTGAAAGCAGTTGATTTGTCATATAAGAAAGTTATCGGTTTCGAAATCAAACAATAACTAATTATCTTGTAGTATAATAAAAAAGTAGTCTTGAGCAAAGTTTTAGCTGATAAAATTTCTAATTAGAGCAGATAGCAAACTTTTTGTAGATCACTACAGCGAAGGGCTACCAGTAGCCT